CACGTAGTCCGGGAACTTTCCGGACAAACTGTGTACCAGCGGCCGACGGGACGGGAACGAAACTCATTTTAATGCCGCGGCTTTGTTTAGGCGTCGGCACGCACAAACGAGTGTGCAGTAGCGGTTAACACACCTACTGTGGCACAACAAGTACATGAGAATTTAATCTATGCGGTCTTTTTTTGATTGCGCAAATAAAATTAAACGTATCGTTTAGCGTGACACGTTAAGCGTCACCGTGCAGGGGGGAGGGGAGGGGCGGAATGAGAGAACACAGCTTTGAAAATAATATATCTGCGGAGAATCTTTTCCCGGAGAATTGTTTTTTGTTAAAAACATAAACAGTTTTATTGCAACAAAATTTTGTACGCGAGGATTGCGCTAAATTGCAATCCCGAAGAAAAATTTCTCGGCGATATACGCGTGACGCTTAAAAACATACACACTTTTATGTTATAAACTACAGTAATTATTTTAATAAATGAATATTGTTTGGAAAATTTGTGACGCTGTCTGCATGAAACTCTTGTTTTACGAAGCTGGTTCGAAGAAGTATAACTGCACGTAACTCAGTTCGCACGTGTTCGCGTAATTAATAACACATGTAAACACACACACACACACACCCACATGCACACACACAGTGTGGAAAACGAAGGAAAAGAGAAAAGCTTTCAGACGACGATAGTAGAGCGGTATCGACCGAAAAGTCCTCATAGACACGCACACATGCACAGATTGCGCACAGATGCACGCATACCACCGCGAAAGTCCATCAAAATTGCATAACTTGTTCTGTCAACATTTGAGACGTTTTTCCGATACGCGCTTGCTCACGTTCCCATTATTTCATGCGGCACCTGCACTTTATTGCCAAAATTTTCTCAGAGACTCAATATTTTATTTTTCGTCGCATCGGATCGGCATTGTGCGGTCGTAATATTACAATGTACAAAAAAAAAAAAAAAAAAAAAAAAAAAATTTTCTCCCTTCAGTTTTTACAATTCAGTTTGTTCGTATTTAAAAAAAAAAAAAAAAAAAAAAAATGCAAATCACTGCTATTCGATTTTAGAACAATTCGATTTTAGAACAATACACGTAATAAAGCTCTCTCGTGAGTTTTTCATCGAACCGACGACGTGCAGATATTAATCGTTCGCGAACGGACACGGGTCTCCCAGATTCTCAAAAATTGCAAACCGATATAAACTCTCTGATAAAAATTTTGTTCAACGTTTATATCTTTGAAACTACTAGAGATTTCGATTTTTTTATCAACGCGGAATTGTTCGAACTTTCGATGAAAAAAAAAAAAAACAAACAAACAAAATGGAAAAAATATATCGATTTTTCGCGGAGATATTCGATTGAATTCGCGCGGTCTCACAGACCCAGTTTGTAGGTCATTTTTCAGGTCCGTCCCCGGAAGGGTTAACCGTAAGGTTGATTAATTTTTTATTTAAAAAATTTCTTTTTTTAATTTTTAAATTTACGAACTCTGAACTTTCAAGGAAGACCCGGATCCATCGGTATTTCTTTGCATCCTTGTAGTTATTTTTCGTAATATTTAGAGAAGAAGGTAATTGTGTTGCGGCAATTCCGAAATCCTACAATGAGAAAGTCATTAAAGGAGCAAAGCGTTGCGGTATCGAGGAGAGTTTCTACCTCGTTCAAGATCGTGTGGCGATGTGACACACACACACACACACACACACCATTGTGGAGGGGAACGCAAAGTAGGTCCCACGTTAACAAGTAGTCGGTCTCAATTTAACACGCGACGTTTAAACGGCCAGGCCAGGGTGTGTCGGAAAGGAAACAGTTTATCGTCGAAACACAAAAGCGAGGGTATCCGATCAATGCGTCTCACTTCGCTTCGGTAAACCCGTCACGACTCGCCGACGTGACAGCTTCCCGATTTGATGGTCCCTTCTTTTTCTCTTTTTGCTGCGATCAGACGCGCGGGGGATCATCAATTAAGTCAAACGTAAACTTCAGAAAGCACTTCCGCTCAAACAACGATACCGCTTGATAGATCGCGCAATGTTTCTTTCGAATGCGCAATTACATTTTCATGCGGACAGCGTGCGCGTTTTAAATTTTTCGCGCGGGGTCGCGCGCTCAAAACTTTATTTTGTTGAAATACAAAGAGAAAATTATTCATTATACATATTTCTATTTTAATTATTCATTATGTGTTTCTATTTTAATTATTTTTTATACATACGCGTATTTGTTTAAATACCAAGATTTTTTTTACAAAGCGAAGGTTTTACTTATTTACATACTATTTTGTTTTTGTAAGTTTTTTTCTAAGTTGTCAAGAGTAGATAATTAATTAATTTTTTTTATATTCATTAAGGACAGATTGTTTTAAAATTTTTTAACAACGGAAACAACGAACAACATACATTTTTGAATTAAACAATAATGAAATTGTCCGAGTAAGCATTTTCATAGAAAACACAAAGTCAAACGTGTGTGCAACATTCCGCTTTGATTTCTCAATTTGACATCAAGTCGAGTTGTTACAATATAATGAGTGTGCCATCGCGCGCGCGCACCCACAAGTGATCACTCGTGAGAAGATCACGCGATAACTCACCACACGCTAGTAACTCATGCTGCACATCGTAACTAACGACATTGTCTGCCATATACATATTCGCGGTGTAAGCACGTGAACGGAAGAGAGTTTCCGCGAAAAGTCTTTGTACGCGTTTTCGCTCGTTTTCCTCCAAAACAGTTTTCAATAGTTTTGTTTTTTTTCTTTTTTTTTTTTACAGACACAAAAGTTTTCGACCATAGAGATTTTCACTCTCGCATTCCGTTTCGGTTTTTTTCTCTCAATTTTCTCTCCTCCAGTTTTTCGAATCGCGAATTCCAAAATCCTCAAATAGAATTTAAACGCGCGCGCAAAAACTTTTTTTTTTTTTGCGGCGACGGCGGCGGCGGCGGCGGCGGCGGCGTTTGTTATCCAAGCGTGACTGTCATTCTTGACATTTGCGAAATGCATTTACCACTTTTTATTATCCGCATTGTGTCTGCCCTTTTTATATATATATATATATATATGTATACATATACCATATATACATACAACCGTCAACTCTGACACGCACTGGTCCCGTCACACAGTGCCCGTCACATATACCATATCTTTATCTATACTTTTTCCAACTACAGCGTGGTAATTGGTGACCTATAATGTACTTGTGTTTGCAGGCTCGCAGCGCCAGCACAAGTAGCTTTAGAAGCCTAAGCCAGGTATATACCACAAGATAATAATCCAGATATAGTTGAGAGATTAGTGTTACTAGCTATTTAGCTAGATATATAGTCGATCACTTATTATTATTATTATTATTATTATTATTATTATTATTATTATTATTATTATATTACTTAATCATTTCTTTTTAGAAACATAGAAACCATTTGCTCATGCGTAGAGGCGTAGAGCAAATTTCGCACGCATATTTCGCTAGAAAAGATGAGAAAAAAAAAAAAACCGCAAATTTTCGCAAAGCGTTACATACGTACATACGTGTGTATCTTGAAAATTTTCCCTCAAGTTTCGCCCTTTGTGGTTCGCCGTAATTGGATTACGACGTCAGAACCGAGAGATACCTTATCGCGCGAATCCTCTCCTCTTTTTTCCTTCCCGTGTTCTATTTTTTTTTTTTTTTGCGTCCGTGGATGCGCGCGTTATACATATACGTTACGAAAAGAGAAGATCCCGGTATGATTTCTCTCTTACGACGTCATAATCCGATGTGACTGCCGCAGCGAACGAGCACCCGAGTCTTCGGGTAATCTCTTTTCGCGGGGCCTCGCGATTTGCTGCAACGCTCTCTCGCTCCGATAACGTCGAGAAAACGACGATCTTATTTCAAGACTTCGCTCTCCGCTCACCGTGAAATTTCGGTCTCTCTCTCTCTCTCTCTCTCTCTCGCGAGACTAGAGATCGCACGTACATACATCTCGCCACAAGCGCTTTTTTCGCGTGTGTCACTTCGCTCTCGGCGTTTATCTACGGAGAATATAATTTTGTATTTGCAATAACAAACACGGCGCGCCCATATCTCGACGATACCTATACTCATGCATGCCGTACGCAGCTTTTGGCAAGCGACACAAACACTGGTCGTATTAATTGTGAACGAGAATTTCGAGAATGAGAAAGTAGAGCCGCTGCTATTGCTCCACGAGCCACGCATGCCACGCATCTTCTTCTTCTTCTTCTTCCGGTCGATTTTGCCAAACAACAAAAATGCGAACGCGTAGAGATGCATGCTTATCTAGCACTTTTTTGGTCGTCTCGTTTTCCGCTGCGGAAAAAAGTTTTCGCAGAGAACAAAAAAAAAAAAAAAAAAAAAAACGGAAGCCAGTAAGTACATCCACGAATGAGGAGATTCCAGAAGAAGGGTAATAGACCGACGCAATTATATATGCGGAAATATGCCGCGGGGAGAAAAGAGAGGAGAGCGGGAAAAATTTTGTGTTGGGGAGAAAAAACTACTTTTTTTTCTCTCTCTCTCTCTCTCTCTCTCACTCTGTTCTCGTTTTGCGCGCGATGATGTCGAGAAGCCCGCTAATGAGCGGCGTTTATGCGACTCGGTCTCTCGTTAGAACCGCGTGACATTTTTTTCAACACACACACACACACACACTTTCGTGTATCATCGTTCTAATTATTCAGCCCTTTTTTTTATCTCGATCGACACCTTTCCTTTTGTGTTATATACCTAAAGTTTTATCGCGCTCTTGGCATGCCACACAATTCTACTTTGCAACAACTTTTTGTATGCACAATTACAATCTACACACACGGCGCGAGTATGACGTATGTATGTTTGTATGTGTGTGTGTTCGTGCGTGCGTGTGAGTGCGCGTGGCACTCGCGAACGTGCCGCGAGTTCGTTTCGAGTGAAACGAAAAATCGCGCATATTTCAGAAAGAGCGTAATATCAACACTCGATCGGATCGATTAATTGGCGAGGGAAAAAACTGTGCGAAAGTTTGTACGTAATTCGAGCCTGGGCGTAAAAAAAAAAAAAAAAAGAGCTGTAAGTGCTAAGAGTAAAGGGTTCGAGAAACGTAAATATGAAATAATATTCGTATAAATCTCGAAAGAAAAAAAGAACGGAGAGAAAGAAAATATTCGTGCGTGCGCGTTTGTCGAAAAAATTAATTTCGCGATGCTTGCATCTTTTTTATTTTTCAAATTAATTTCGCGACTTCTTCGTGTTTAAATTGTCAATTAATGGACCGGTGTCGGAATACCGTAAAACATCGGAGATTTAGATCGTGTTTCCGTATAGCCCCGGGTATGAAATTACACAGATTATTTTTTAATGAATAAGCGGGAAGAAAAACGGTTTTTAGAAAATTTGAAAAATGCGACACGGAGGAAAGCAAACAGAGAGAGAATTGTAACGAGCGCGGCGCCGACATAATACGAGCGATTAAAGTCTAATGCTAATGACGACCGCGCAAAATGACGGCGATTGTCTGCTCGATTACATTTCTACTGAATTGTTTCACGATTGATGAATCATATTAGCTTCTCTCTTCTGAAAGAGCGCTCAAAAACGTTTTCTGCGCGCGCGCGCGCGCGCGTTTTCATTTTTCCGCGCGATTATCGCGTAAATATCGTAAAACCACGACGAAGGTCAAGGACTGTTTTTCGAGAAAGGTTCGGAAAGAACGCGTCGCGGAAAAATGGTTTGCTGGTGGTTGTTTTTGCGAGTTCGAACGTAAATTATTCTTGTATTTCGTATAAAGTGCGCGCTCGTAAAATACGGAAAAGCGGAACAAAGGAAATTTTCCGGATTAATACTGGCGAGATTTAACGGCGGATAATTCCCAAAGGGTATATCTCTGGATTTTATAGTAGTAACGATTTAAATACAGTTGAAAATCCCTCTCGGATGAATAATTGTGTTACCGCGCTCTCTCTTCTTACCGAGTAACAGTTTCCGTTACTCGGTAGCTTATGTGCGTTTTAAAGCGCGCGTTTTAAGTTGCGCGACGCGAAGCGAACGAGGAGGGGGAGAGGAAAGTTAATGCCGCGCAAAATTTATAGCGCGGAGTTTTTTCGCGCTTTTAGTCGCGACCTATATATATATATATATATATATTGCGCTTATTAAGCCAGAAGTGGCTAATTTTTTTTCCGCAACGATCTAATATTCCGTTTACCGGCTGGTTTCGTTCGTGATTTTTAAAGCAAGAAAATTGCGGAACACGAAAGCGGATCGAGAGATTTTATCGCGACTGTTGTTTGCGCCTCGATCGAGTCTCCGTGAAAATTGTTTTTGATGTATTTATTTTTATTTGTTGTTATTTACATATACGATTCAATTACGGCCACAATTTAACAAATACTTATCGGCTGTCTCGAGTGACCCAGCCGTCGCCAACGACAAAGGGTTAAAAGGCTTAGCTTCGCGGGGCGCATCGACCGATACGTAATTTTGGCGCGCCCTTAATTCCCTTCTGCTGGCAAAGATTAATCGTTCGGTTTATGAGGACAAACGGGAAACCGTCACGGAACGAGGCTCGAGACAGCCGCGGAGGAGTGTTACTCGTGTTTAGCAGCGTTGTGTGTATGGTCTGGAATCGAGAATAAGGATCGATGCCTTTGACTACGTCCCGAAGCAGACTGCGTTACTTGATTTAATTATTAATCAACCGGTTCTAGATCTTGTGCGATAGGGCAGTGACACGTTTCAAGGGCGCGTGTCTCTTACGTGTACAATCATTTCTGCGTGTTAAGTTATCGATCGATTGACTTATTGATTGATCAAACAATCGATACACGAATCGTCATGATTTTTTTTGCGTTCTACGACGCAAACGAAGGCGCAAAAATTCTCAGCACATTTCTCAAAGGTTTCGGAGGGAAAACGCGAGTAGTCGAGACGAAGATCCGAACGAAGTATTTCACTTGCATTTCTGCACAATTCACGCAATTGTTCTCTTACACGATAATTTCTAAACTAAATGTTAAATAATTTCTAACTAAACGAAGCATAGAAGAATAGGTATCGTCGATATTTCGCGATTATTCTTATATCGGATTAGTCACATTTCTCGTGACATACACAGTTTGTCCGGAAAGTTCCCGGACTACGTGAATTAAAAATCGAAAATGAAAGATATGGTTTATTAAACAAGTTTACACTTCAAGGTA